TATAAAAATAAATTTTTCTATCACAATTAGAATATTTTTTTTGAATACATAGCATTATTTACGCACAAATTTATATACGTATGTGAGTAGTTTTAAAAATAATCAAAAAATCATTACAATCTGAAGTTGAAAATTAAATAATTTTAGTATCTTCAAAGATGTCTTAAATCAAAGATTTAAGCGAGTCAAAGGTTTTATTGGGAGTCAAGATAAAACTTTCATAATTCTCGAAGCAAAAAGTATCAGTAAGTACACAAAGTAGAGAATATTTAAATTTTAATAATAAGTAAACAACAAAGTTAAAGAAGACCGCACTTCATGTTAGGGTCAGTTATGGCCGATGTCACCTATTATAAACTTTTATATTTGTATATGTTAAAATAGCGCAAACACAAGTATAAATACACAAAAACAAATTTCATTTTAATCGATATAAACTTAATAAAAAAGGAAAAAAATGAATGTTAACATTGAAATTTCAACAGAATTTTCAAGAGAAGAGAAGAAAATAGTTACTTAAAAATTAAATTCCCTTGAGGTTGAAATTCAAATACAAAGTATTAAATTTTTATTTTTTTCTTTTGTTTTTTTTTTATAGTACTTCTCATATTTTGTAATTTTTAAGATTTTCTGACAGAACTTAAGAAATATGTAAAAGGAAAGTTTGTGTATTCATACAAGAACTTTTAAGTCTGCAGAAAACATCAGTATGAAAAGTGAGTAGAATATTTTAAAAAATAATGTGAAAATTGTATTGAATTTTTTATTGTGAATTTTTAAATGTAAAAAAATTGTAAGGAATTCATTTGATTTATAATAATTCTGAATTCCTCTCAATAAATTAATCATAATATTTTGAGGTTAAAATTTTTCTTCAGTACGAAATTTATAAGCAATACCCTCAAATTCAACAATTAAATACAATTCAACAATTATGTTTTCTCCTAATACAACAAAATGTATTAGGAGAAAACACTGTATACCTTTTTGAGGAAAATATTTTCTTACTGCCTACCTTTCCAAAAATATTATAAATTATCCTTTATGAGGATAATTTATTAATTAGATTTTTTGAATAGAATACTTTTCATCTTCACAGTTTCAAACTAAAGCGAGTTGCTGAAATCAAAAATTTCAAGTTCAGGAAAAGTGAAAAATAGAAAAAGAAACTATTTAGCAAAATGAACCCTTATTTACTAAAACTGTTCCTGTTTGGCTGTAAAAATTTCGAACTTTTATAGCTTTGTTCTATAAGGAATTGTCAATTTCAGATAACAAGTTTTCTACGAATAAAGAATGTGGAAAAGTAAAAATTTTCCGAAATTTTCTTAAAATCGATTTCGCATTTAACAGAAGCTTATACAGAAAAATTCCATCAATTTTCATTTCTCTATCTAAGCAATTGTATAAATGACACTATATTATTCTTTCTCAAAATACTTACAAAATAAATAAATAATTTACTGATATTATTTCTAAAATTATATTCCATAACTTTTTACTTAAAAAATTATATGTTAATTGATTATAAACCATATGTTTCGAAATATTCTAAATATAAAATCAATTAAGTAGGTCGGAATTTGTACACACGTTTGGTTTCAAAGTATTCCCACTCTATTCATAAATTATTATTCAAAGGTATACTTCAATAAAATTATTTCCTTATACTTTATCTACACTTGTTTTAGAAATTTATTCGAATCTATAAATATAAATTAAGTGTATTCAAATTGAAATAAAATATAACAGTTATATAGAATATGTCAATGATCGTTAAATTTTATAAGAGCAAAATTAATAACTTAAAAATGAAAATAATCTTATATTAATTGAATTCCTCTGTATATTTGTTATTACACAAAAAATATAACTTGCAAAAGTTTCAATTTCTTTATATTAAACATTCTTAACGTTTGTTGTTAAAAAATAATATCAAAGACACAAAATATATAAAAATGAGTACTTAACAAAATCAAATTTATATATTATATATGCATATACATATCTACATATATCTTATCATTTATTTTTCCAAGAATTTTCTAAAAATAGACATTATTCCCACGAAATAGAATTAATATTGTTATTAAAAATTTTGCTTATGTATTTGTTATAGATTCAATGTTATTTATTTCTTACGCCTATGTATTCATGCATGTAAATATCTACATGTTTTCGTATTAAGGATTAGAGTTGCCCATTGTGTAAATAGAAACTATATTATATGTGGAATATTTTCAATTAAAAATATTTTTGTTTTCAACAATTAATTAGAAATTTGTAATAATTAAATATTCGAATGATATTTTATTACAAGGACTGTCCAACTTCTTTATATAGAATACATGATGAAAAAGTATGATATAAAAAAGGTATGTGGTGTCAGTAATTTAAAAGACATCTTGAAACACATACAGGACACGATAATGATTTTTTATACTCTACCACTTCGTGCAGTCATTCTGATCGCCGGATAATTAAAAAGCGAATAAAGTAAACACCATCAAATATTCACAAGTAAGATCTTATTATAATTGGACAGATCCGGACAACGGGTTCGACTAGCTGCCATACAACTCAAAGAGATTATTTTAAATATTCTTATAAAAATATTAACTAATAAAGACAATTATATGAAAGGAAGCGTGTACCCAATTACATTTTACATGTATTCTGAAAATTTTAATGGAATGACTGTACACAATATAGAATAGCTATCATATAACTCCAAAAGCTCAATTAAATAATCAAAAATATAATTCATGAAATTTTGCGGTTTTGTGCCCAATTATACGTCAGACATATGCGTAACTATTTTATGGAATGGTTTGACAGATTCAAATTAATGCCATACAACGATGAAAGCTACTTCTAAATATATTAGAAACAAATTTTTAGGTTCAGATTGTGATTTTGCAGGGTTTGTATCACTCGGTTTAGACCAACCCAAGCGTTTTTACATGTTAAAATATGTTAGTTGTTATTCATTAAAATGAAAAGATGCTCGGGTACATTTATCGAAAATCAAAAGAAATTCAGTCGAAGTGCCGTTTCTTATTCGCGTCCCACAGTTTTACAACCTATGCTTTGTTATATAAAATACATACAACACATAATATTGTTGATTATTAATGAAGTTGTAAGAAGGTGTTATAATAAAAGAAATATTTTATTTAATTCTGATTATTTTTCGAATATTTTTTTTTTGAAACATGAACACAAAAGAAAATTATGCGTAGATAGTAAGAGTCTATTTTAAAATTATTATTAAATATTTTTTAATTTATAAATATATCTTAAATTACACAATAAATAGTTATGCATTTATTTACATGTGACTCATTCCTCAGAAATTATAGTGAAATAACTAGAAAAGTGGAAAAACTAGTAATGGAAAATTTGCGGTTAATTTTTCATTAGAAAAACAAGGTTTTTCTTAATACTTCAAGAATAATATTTCTTTGTTTTTGAATTTTGGTTTGGGAAAATTTTTAAAGAAATTAATTTTTACAAAATTTTATGTATTATCACTTGCATAAATCTTATACTTATTCATAGAAGATCACACTCTTTGAAAGCCGAAAAAAGACATCTTCTGAAATATCTCAAAGGAATACGAAAGAAGAAAAAGAACTTTGTGGAAATTTCAAATTTTTTTAACTTCTCGCAAATGGTATTATGATGTTAAATTAGAAAAAATTCTATCTTAAATATAATTTATTTATAACATTGCTATCATAATATAAACAGCAACCATTCTCCCACATTACCATTGTTATATAGACAATAAATAAAAATTATAAGAAGTAAAAATTTTTACAAAATTACAAAGAAATGCGAAATATTTTCAGTATATATTTGTATATAAGTATGAATATTGTGTATTTAACCATAATATTAAATTTTTAAGAATGACAATTTCAAAATATAAATAAATCCTCTTGCGTTAATGGAATATTTTGGGCCCACAAGTCTATAACGACAAATTTATGTATATTTATATTATATATGTATATATACATATTTTTAATTTTCATGATAAATTTCATCCATTGAAAACAGATAAAAAAAAATATTATTTAAGGTCTAAAGGTTAATATACATTTCATAAATAAATTTTGCAGTTATTGAACTTAGAGAAAATTTTAAAAGAAATTTTAACAAAAGACCGTATTAAAAAATAGAAATGACAATGAAATTTTGAAAAGCTTCAATTTAAAATAAAAAATAAAAATATAATTATATAGTGGTATAAAATGTATAACACTTAAAAAAATTTAAGTTCTGAACTGATAAAATTTAAATATTGAAAGGTTCGCTGCAAAATTTCATGGGAGGATTAAAAAATCCAAAGTCGGAATATGATTCTTGCGATAACAAGTCTAAGCACAAAACTGGTGAAAATTTGGTTAATCTAACTCACTTATTCGACGCTAATCAAGTATGTAATTATGTATATATGTATATATTAAATACATTCAAATATATTTTAGATACGAAACTTGTATCTACCTAGAATTATGCAAAAATTCCAAACAGTTTTTGATACAAGAATAAAATCAATTAACACAAAGAAGAAAAAGAACTTTTTTGTTATAACATCCTCCAGTCATCTAAAATTTTTCAACATTTTCCAAAATTAAATTACAAAATTTTATAAATTAGACGACAAAATTCCTCATAATTCTATAAAGAACATAGAAATTTCTTATTTTTAATATAAAATCTACATAACAAATTTTTTTCATATCTGAAAGTTTTTTTACTGAAACTAATAAAATTTATTTTTATAATAACAAACTACCCAATTAAATTAAATTATTTTTATGAAACTGAAATACTTGATGTGTGTACTTTACACGTGCAAGTCAACTCAAGGATATGGTAACGAAATGGAAATAAAACAAAATATAAGAATAAGAAAACAATTGACAAATGAAATAAAATTTTGGTAATAATTTTTGAAAATTCCATTTAAGAATTAAGAAAAAATTTACCTGGTTTTAACTTTATGCTGTTTTTCTGGCAACAATTGCAGTTTAACATATGGATCTGTAGCTGTTTGAGTTTTACCATTCATTCCAGTTGGTATATCACCTGTACCAGATGGTCCTGGTTTTCCTGGTAAACCGCGACAACGTACTATTGATACAACTAATGCATTCTTTTCAGTTAAATATCGTAATTTAAATACGATTGTGCCCAATTTTCCATATTCATCATCATCACCAGTGGCACCATCAGGGCTATCTAATTCTGGAGTTTTTAATTCATTGCATACAGTACGAGGTTTCATTTCATTTTCTTCAGAATATTTTATTGTATGATGATGTCCCATTGGTGATAGATCTTGATTGGGCTGTAATGTTAAACCACTGTTAACATTATTACCATTTGTTGAATTTATTCCACCACAACCTCCAATTGAACTACCATTATTTCCGATTACACCATTACCACCACCACCATTTGAACCGGGCAATGTACTTCCTGGTGGAGGTTTTGGTGCCGTTGGCGATGGTGACTTTTTTAAATAATGTGGTGGTGCACCACTTGGTGAACGAACAGCAGTCGGACGTCTTGGTGGTTGAAACGTTAATGGTGATTCATGATTTAAACCTTTAAGTTTTTTACGTTGCTGACGTAAACGGTATAGAAGCCATGCAACAATAATGGCGCATAATACACCACAGAGTATACCAGCAATTAATGTAAATCCTTAAAATAATAAACAAAAAATATTTTTTGTTAAAATTTTTACAAAATTTTTTTAGTAAATTAAAAATTACATATTTGAGTTTTGTCATGTAAATTTTCCTAAGGCTACTTTATTTTAATAATAATTTTGAAATTTAGTTTTCTTGTTCTCTTAGAAATTTATTTGTGTTGAGTATATATTTTTTATATTGGAGTCAGTCTTCGCTGTCACGCTGTTTTACTAAAGCTATATGGCCATATCGATATTTTACATTATGGTATACGGAATTAAAATTTCCTGAGTTTTTCATTACTTTTTCACCATCAACTGCGACCAACAGGTACTTGGGGAAAGCGACCTATTAAGAATTCGTTTCAATTTTTTATTACAACTACTTTCGAATCAATCACTTTTTGAAATTTGGCATAAAACGGTATTATATTTTGTCTAATCTAGAATAATTTGCTTGTCCAAATATCTAAATACTGTCCTCGAGGCCTACGATAAATGTTTTTTCTCTCAAAAAAAATCCTGTCGGAAAATACTTTTCTTTCGGTCTCAATCTTAAGCTAATTAGTGTCGTCTTTTAATTTTTTATTTGCCCCCTATATTTATGCAATAAGTCAAAGTTGTAGCAGTGAAATGTGCTCTTTTAGAACGCAGACGTTTGATTTGATTTTATTTATTGTATCTTTTTTTGTTTTTTTTCCGAAAATTTTCGTTATCATTTGACAGAGTGAGATTTTACATTTTGCGTATACCGAAAATAATAATGTGAACATTTCAAAATAATCTTTACATTAAATTCCCACAAGATTTCTTTTTTCATATTTCGCATTTGAATAAATTCTTAAAATTTTTATTTATATATGTACAAAAACACATGTATGTATGTATGTATTCATACATGCCACATAATTATAATAACAGTCAAATTTTTTGGTTTTATAAAATATATCAAAAATGTCAATCGAATAAAATTCTGCATGTAGTATGAGCTCTGTACATGCTTACAAGCATGTATAATAAGCCGTAAAGCATGTAATCTACATAAATATTTTTAAAACTTTTAAAATTTGAAGAATGAACATAGTACATACATACTCAAAAATGTTATATATTTATATATAACGGATGATTTTTCGTATTTTTATTTTTAGCGCGTGGTTCACACCACAAAGACTAACTAAATTATTTAATTAATAAAATTAACGAATTTTTGGTGAGCACTTAATTTCATGTCTTTAACGTATCAACAGACGGCCGACTATGTAATGCAATTGGACACATTTACATACTGATTAAAATTAAACACATGATATTAATCTCAACTTTGAAAAATATTGGTGTTCTTGTAATATTGGTGGCAAAAAAATAAGTGACAGTTGGATTTTCCATATCTAAAATTAAGTTATACCCAAAATTTCAATGTACAAAAATTGAATTATAACGACAGTTTAAAATTCTCTTCTTTAAATAAAAAGAAACTGAACGCTTACAAAATCACCCATTTACTTACATACACATATGTACATGAACAAAAGTATAATTAACACATTATAATTTCAAGGATATGAAGAATTAATATGTTAATATAAGTATGCATACATACATATATACTTATATGGTAATGAAATATTTAAAATATTTTAAAACATAAAAGAGTAACATGCTTTAGATAACAAAATATGTTTTTTGTTTCTAAGACTCATTTGTTGTATTTGCCCTAGCCCCATTTTTCTGATTCTTAAATATTAGAAATAATAAAATTCGTCTATTTATTTTTTGTGAAAATTCGACAAATTTCATATGATATTAAGTTGACATTTTAACTTTTAAAATGTGATTAATTCAAAACGATCACATTGGTATACTTTTGTGAAAAGGTAGATGAAATTGAAATACAAATTAAACTATAATTAGCTACTAATTATAATAGTTTGAATTACAATCATATAATACTATTGTTTAGATTGAAAATATGGTATTAGTACTTTTCTTAAATTTCCCGATTCTAAGATTAAGATTAAAGAAACTATAACTAATGAATTGTTATAGTTTAGAGCCGCCATTCTAAAATTAATGCGCCACTCGTGTATTTTAAAGCATTATCGTGTATTTTTTTCAAGCCTTCCAAGATGCCCAACAATTCAACATATTGAAAAACTCAGGGAGACGTGTGCAAGAACAAATAATGAAATCTGATATTTCTATTTTATCTAATGCAATATTGTGACATACTGTTTCTGGAATACCATCAAATCTTGGACACCATATAATGTATAATGTTACACATATAATACATGACGTATAACAAAGCCTTTAACAAGTAATATTATAAATGTTATATTTTAAAAAATTGTTAATAAAAATTGCAACATTACTGAAAACATTTACCAGTACAAAAATCGCGCCTCCTCAAAATCTTAAAATAAATGTTTTTTATGAATTCATGTAACAATTTTTAATATTACCAAAATTTAAAATTAGAAAAATTTCTCTGTGGCACTTAGCACGAAATTTTAAATTTAGAAAAGCCTTTGTGTTTATCTTTGTCTGTTTTTCCAAAAATTTATTTTTAGCTTTCAAAATAATTTCAAAAGGAATTTTTTTGTGTTTAACAAAAACCTTTATCTCTTTAAATTCCATGTATATGTACCCGATGTAATGTTCACTGCACAAGCAATTGGAAACATTCAATAATATGTATGGATTGGTAACATTGGTTATTTCATATGTGTTGTTACTCTTAGTAAAAAAAAATTATATGGTTATTTTGTACTATTTTATGTTTCTTTATAAAAACTTTCCCCAAGGCTCTTAACACACACAAGAATTTTCGAAAAAAATCTCATTTTTTAAAAAATGAAAAATAAGTCAAAATAACAAAAGAACCTGGAAAAAAAAGTAAAAAATGTACTAAAAAAATTTTTGCCAACTTTAAATTAAAAAATATTTTCATTCATACCATTTTTTTTTTTCTTTTTTAATATTTTTATATTATTTATGTACACCTGAAGCGAGTTCATTCATAAAAGAAAGAAAAATAAAAATAAAACCAGGTATAAAAGAAAATTTTGTAATAAAGAAGAAAAAAAATCTTTTACCACGTTTCTTTCTCCTTTTATTCCTTGTACATAGTCACATATCCTTACACATTCATTGTACATATTCATTCCTTTTATAACATAACAGCTATACCATATTAAATTCATACACCAATGATCATTCATTCTACACAATACAAACAAAAGAGACACAAGAAAAAGGACACAATGTGTACAGAAATGTGAGAATTCAGTTAAGTGAAACGAGTATAAAAAAAGAAAGAAAAAGTGGATCCCATTTTATTGTTTAACGAGAAGTTTTTTTTCGTATGTTCTCTTAGAATTCTGTTTTTGGAACATTCTGGTTTACTTTTCTTAAAATGTTATATAAAATGTACTTACAAGATCAACCAATAAACTTCATGTGAATGTGAGAATTGAACCTATATTATACAATTTGTATATCAGAGAGGTTTTCATAAAACAAGAGTAGAGATAGGATGTGAAATGTTTATGCAATAAAATTTACATTTGATTTTATTATTATTTTAATTGGAAGTCACTAAATCTAACATATTCACTTAACTTACATAAAATTATTCATAAATTATAGGCGTAAGATGGAGAAGAGAAATAAAACACGCTATACTATTACAAGATCATTATTTGGTTTAATGAATACAAAAAAAAATTGTGAATGAACTCATTTTTGTGTGGATCTATACACTTACAGAAATTGAATGGCAATCCTGCTGAAAATTATCTTTTTCAAGCTCAATTAATTAATAAATAATCACTTATATTAGTTGCACTAAAGTTTTGTAGAAAGCAATCTTGAAAATCAACGAATATATAGAAAAATGCGGCTATGCAAAAAAGCAAATTGGAAACAAAACTATCATTATATTTTTTGACAATGGGACGGACATCGACTCTCTCTGTCGTAAGAATATAGAGTAAATATGGATTGGAATTCGTAATTAAAAGTTTATTACCCACGCTAAACTAATATTGAAATTAACTATGGCGGGTAGGTTCTATACACTCTAAAAACAAGAAGAGGAAATGACACTGTATATTTTCTGTGAATGACCATTTTGGTATAAAATCACCTTCTGGATTTGATCAATTACTTTCATATGTATATATAATTTTGAACTTATAACTTTGAGTCTAATGAATAAATTTTTATATTCATTTTTTATATTTATGCCGAAGTAATGTAAATTTTTTTTTAAAAAAAATAACAGTAGCTCTATCAGCTTGTTGCTTTAGAATCTAAAATACAAAAATTATAAAATTATACGTCAAAATTCGTGGAACATACTTTTTACCAATTGGCACAATTTTCTATTACTACGCTTTGACAATATCATTGTAAATCTTTAAAATCTCTATCGTTAAACCCTTTACACAACTAAAGTTCTTTGAATTGAATTGAATACAAAAAAAATCTATACCAAAATATAAATGCACCAAAAATGTATACAGCAAATGGCATGGTTCAAAAATGAATTTTTTTCACGTTTTATTGTCATGGATAAAAATTTTCATTGCTCAAATTTATTTTTATTAATTTTAATACATTTCTAAAATTATTTATGAAAACAACTGATATTCTGTCTGACAATAATACGTCATAGAAAACGAAATTTTACTAACATCAAGTACAATTTTAGTTCACTCCAAATATTTTTTCATAATCTTATTCAATGTAATTTTCAAAAACCAAAATTTGAACATAAAATTTTATGCCAAGAATTCCGCCAAATATAAAAAATTCCTAAAATCCAACAAGGAAATGATTCTTAGCCATCCGGTTCACTTAAAGAATCTAAATCCCCGATGCTAATTTTCGATATCGCGTTCAGGCCCGCCCAAAGGCTCGTAGAGATAGTGAAAAATGTGCTCCTCCTTGTCCATATCCCGTCGGCTGCGTTGTTGAAAAGCAATCCGAGCCGTCAGTGGGATTC